GGTTACTCTCGTCCCGTGGTGTGGTTGCTCTGCTCTCCCTCGCTTGTTCTTCCTCTTCTTCTCTATCTTGAAATTTTGTTATGAACTGCGATATTTTTTGTAATCCTAATTTTAAATCACGCACATCCTTTGTGATGTTTTCCCACTGTTGCTTGCTTTCTTCTGATCGAGACGTTGCCATTTCTTCTAATTTCTTTTCGATATCTGCTAACCGTGTGCTGTTGGTGTTGTTTGCGTCGGATAGCCTTTGGACCGCGTGTGTCACAGTGACTTTTTCATTACTTCCATTTGTTATTTCCATTTTATTTATCTTTCTCTATTCTATATTGTATATTGTTTATTCCCGAGTGCAAGGTTCAGATTGTCAGGGTCGCCATGTAACGACAAACTTTATTCAAGGTGATTCGACGGACTTTATTTCAACCAAACATTTCCTTTTATATCCGTTCCCTCTGTTCTCTTTTCTTTTTGAGCGCATCGGTCACGAGAGAACAGGGAGAGAAAGAGACGGACAGAGAGAAACACGAAGAAGAGAAAAGAATCATTCGATTAACTGATGAAGGTGAACTCGCTATGAGACGAGATGCATAGATATAATGAACAGAAAGGAGAGGATGATAATACATATATACATGAGTCATCTATCTGTGTTTGAAAGATTAATTGATGAATACACAAATGTTGTCACAGGAAGGTCGATAGTGATGCCGGAAATAAGTTGGAAAAGATGGGATTTGTAGTTTTGTGTTTGTTCACGGTAGGTTACGGTTCTCGGGTTCAGATGGGTTCGTTGCAGTTATGGGCGGTTCTTGGTTTTGGGAAATATGCGGGAAACGGTTTGGCGTTTGCAATATTTTTTGTTTCTGTTCGGATCCGGTGGCCGAAACGTTCGTCCTAGGTGCCCGGACTAATTGTTTCTCTGTCGGTGCCGATTAGTCGGCTTGCTATCAACTTCATATTTGAAGTAAGAAATTATTCTCTAGTTTGGAGTCGAGTGATCCGTCACGAACGCTAACTCTTGAAGTCATCGAAACCAAAAAGCAATGTGAAAAGAATTGAGTCAAGAGAATTACAATTACATATGGCAAGCGTTATTTGTTTTGATGAATCTCATCAAGAAAAAAAAAGTCGATTTGTTACCAAGAAATGGAATTGAAAAAATATCTTGATGATTTACGTTTTATCTCGGAGTCATCTTAAATATAAAACACAACAAAAGGTTAAAACGAAACATGTTTTCAAGAATCATCTATTTTAAATTTTAAAATTCGTCCAATTTTGGCATCCGCTACATAGAGATGCCCTTCAGTGTCCCATGCGAAATCACGAGGATCAGTCACTTGGTTAAACTCATCTTTACTTGCAGAACTATCCACAAGTATTTCTCCTTCTGTAGCACCTGGAGTCCAACGCACTACTCGACTATTACCAGCGTCTGCTATGTACACGCGGCCGAAATTGTCAAAAGTTATTCCTTGAGGAGAACTTAATTGATCCAGTTTATTTCCTCTTCCTCTGCCGCCTGCGAGAGTTTTTCCTGATGAAAAACCTTCGAACCATATCATGATACGATGATTTCCAGTATCTGAGATAATGATTGAATAATCTTGGTCAACAACGATGTACGACGGATTGTTGAGTTGATCACTACAATTACCACAACCATTACCACCGGCAACCACTTTACCATGCACACCTAGTTTTAATAGACCGCTGACCCCTCTCAATGGCCATCTGGTCACTTGACCTTTGACGGAGTCAACCACATAAAGAAATCCGCGGTCATCGACTGCTATCCCAAAACAGTCGATGTCTTCAATGAGTGTCTCGCACTGTGTCTTTTTCCACCAGGTTTTAAAGCGTCGACGGATTGAACCTTCAGTAAATAACCAACGGATGATTCGTCGGTTTCCAGCGTCCGCAATAATTAAAGAATAGTTTTCTTCCTCGTAGTAGACGCTAGTGGGACAGAATAGTCGATCATAAGTTTTGCTGTTTTCAGTATCTCCAGCTATAGCGTTTGAGTAGACGTCCTCCTGAGCAGCCATCAGAAGTACTCGATCACGCATTTTATCGACAATAAAAATTTGGTCGTACGGACCCATATATAGACCAACAGGCCATGGAAGTTCGTTCGGATTGTCCGCGTCATATCGGTGCGGAACAATGGTTTTAACGTATGAACATTGTCTACATTTCAAAGCTCCAAAAGAAACAAAGTTTATGGCGCTTTGTTTTAAAGTGAGAATTTCTACTTACTTGGCTGATACAGAGATAGATTCAGCAGTAAAGACGCCATGTTAAGGTTATTACATCGCAACATTTTCGTATGGTTTCGATATCTAAAATAAATCGCTTTTTCCCTTTTCTGAAAGAAAGGGTTATACAGCGATTAAATCGACGACTCGAAAAAGCTAAAAGTTTGTCTGTCTGTCTGTCTGTCTGTCTTTCTGTCTGTCTGTCCAAGCCAATCAGATTACAGCATTTGACAACTCAAAGAAAACTTCACGATGGCCATACGGAAATGACTCATCTTATGTAATTGAGGTCGGGGATCTCGAATCCGATGTTAGTTTTTCAAAATTCTAATTTCCTAATTAGCTAATTAGCTAATTAAGTAATGAAAATTTTCTTCGTCGTTGGGTAAGGGTTGACCGAAGGGTAGTCGGGGTCGGGGATCTCGAATCCGATGTTAGTTTTTCAAAATTCTAATTTCCTAATTAGCTAATTAGCTAATTAAGTAATGAAAATTTTCTTCGTCGTTGGGTAAGGGTTGACCGAAGGGTAGTCGGGGTCGGGGATCTCGNGACCGAAGGGTAGTCGGGGTCGGGGATCTCGAATCCGATGTTAGTTTTTCAAAATTCTAATTTCCTAATTAGCTAATTAGCTAATTAAGTAATGAAACTTTTCTTCGTCGTTGGGTAAGGGTTGACCGAAGGGTAGTCGGGGTCGGGGATCTCGAATCCGATGTTAGTTTTTCAAAATTCTAATTTCCTAATTAGCTAATTAGCTAATTAAATAATGAAAATTTTCTTCGTCGTTGGGTAAGGGTTGACCGAAGGGTAGTCGGGGTCGGGGATCTCGAATCCGATGTTAGTTTTTCAAAATTCTAATTTCCTAATTAGCTAATTAGCTAAGTAAGTAATGAAAATTTTCTTCGCCGTTGAGTAAGGGTTGACCGAAGGGTAGTCGGGGTCGGGGATCTCGAATCTGGTGTTAGTTTTTAGAAAAATTTCACAAACGGGTATCTGAATGGAAATGTTGAAGACAACTTGACGACAATATCTAAAGAGTATCGCCACTGAAAGGTTCTTTTGCTTTGATATAAGCAGGAAATATTATGTCTCAGTGATAAAGCTAATCTAGAGAGGAAAAGATACGGTTGAGAAACCATTTGTTTTCTTGGAAGCTTTGTTTCAATCTGTTAACTAGGCTTAGCGAATGTTATCAACTCTTATAATATCCTATGATTCAATGAAAGCTGTGTAAGAAAAGTGTTAACTTCAAAATATGAGTATTGAGAAATCAACGAACGCCCGATTAGGTTGAGTAGTAAGTAAAAACATTTGATTGACTTATTGAAAATGAAATCCTTGATTTATTCGACATATCATACAGAAACAACCAATGTGACACTCTCGGCGATTGAGTAAAAAGGTTTCGGGAGAAAATTTTTGTCAAAAAGGAAAATTTGGTTTCCGTAAAAACTGCTCCTGTTCTTTGTTGAAGAGTTGTACTGTTTGCAGTGTTTGATCAAACTAAACGAACGAAACTTAACATTTCTTTATATTGTAGGCTAGTCCCGTGATCAATCAACTAAGCAATAAAGTTGATATTTTCCGATAATACTTTTAAGGATCGTATGATTTTCGTTTGACCTACTCGTGGATTTGTTCATTTCCATTCAATAGATATTTGTTTATGAAGAAGTGGATTTGAAACACGTGTAATTAAGTACAGATCTAAGCCACTAATCAAGTATTATAATTCGATTACGTCGTTGAAAAATTGTTTGTACGTCATGTGTTTCACTTAACCACGTGTAAGTTGAATGTAGTAAATACATTCGATTGTTTTTTCTGAAACAAGAAGACAATTCAAATGAATCTTTAGCTTTTTATCCCGCTAATAATGAACAACAACCGATCCAATAGCATAACTATTGAAATGATTTGATTTAGCCATGTATCAGAATGGTAAACCCCCTTCGTTACATTTATTTGTTTATTTTAAGATCATTTGTCTCAATTGTTAATTTACGAATCTTCTCGGTCAGTTAAAAGTGATGGAAGGAAGATGCGAGCTGTTGAACAAATTGATTTTTGAAGTTATTCTATTTCTTTGTTTTTGTATCATTTTAATGATCAAACATAATTGAAGCCTTTCCTTCACACAAACCAGCAGTAAAGGGTGTATAGCATTAAATCATGATTAAATTTCTGTTTTTATGTTAAGAAATGTAATAGTGAGATAAGTTGCAATAGAATTGTGTTGCTCTCTTTTTTAGACAGTGGAAATAATGCTAATGAATACGACAATTAAAAGAAACTGTACAATGTAAATTATAAGAAATACAGCAAAAGTGATGATGCTACATAATCTGTATGACAGAATCCAATTATATTCTGAAAATTCCTTGTCTGTCTAAGTAAAATTTGAACTGAGAAATTTTAGATAAAGCATTTTCGTTTTCTCATGCATCTGTATTTAATGATTGTCGTCGATGTATCGCGTGCTTGGTTGCAAATGGACCATTGATGTATAATGGACAGATGACGTCCGAAAAGTTCAAATAGAATTCGTCTGATTCATGTAACACAGTTTGTCTGTTCATTCAAACAAGTATAAAAATATTTGTTGCACGCTAATGATGAAACCGAGTAAACCCCTCCCCATTTTAGAAGACCCCAGGTCTTCTAAGGGTGAGGGTGAGGAGTTATTTTATATAAGTGAAAAAATAAAATGAATAAGTTGAATTCAAATTCGTGGTGAAATCATTCATTTACATAAATTGTGTTGATTTTTTTTATAAATAAGTCCAATATACTATACACATATAGCATCTTTTGAATCAACTGCGGCAATACATTTCAGTTCACCGATGGATCGATAAAAAATTTGTGTTTAATTCAATCGAATTGAAAAGTTTAATATGTAAGTATGTTGTTTAGCGTCAGGTTCATTGTTTCAGTGATAAACAAAATTTGTTTACGTTAAAATGAAGATAAAATGATTTATTATGTCATTTGGAGACAAGTTGTAAAAATATCAAAGTTTTTTATACAAACTCTGGAGAGTATCATGCAGTTTCGACTTTGTTTTTTCATTTAAATTATAACTTTGAGAGTAATAAGTTATCTAAACATAGGGAAGAAAAAGGATATTTCATTCACAGAAGAGCAAATTTCGACTTTCGATATAAGTTTATTGGAAATAATTCTGAACAATTTTCTGGACAAATATATTTTCTTTCTCTCAAATAGTCTACTAATAAATAGAAGTGACTTGCTTTTCTGTGATTTTACGCTTAGTACCGTCTGCAATATGAGCTTTACATATGCTACGTATTCTACTGATAATTTGTTTTTCTTTGTGTGACATGATTCTATATTCGCTTATAGTTCTTATATGATTATAACTGTTCCTAAGTCAATCCTTCACAATGAACATAATAGATCAGTAAAAAACATGGAGACTGCAATTAACAGAATGAATGAAGGGACAGAGTGAGAAGGAATAGAACCGAATAATTTATTTGTTTTTCATCACTCAGCAGGTGGTTTTGACCGGAAAGAGATGGTAAATTTTGATACAAATGAATTTAATAGTATGAGAACTTAGGGTAATAATCACATATTCACTACTCCCCATACTAATAGAAAAAAACTAATAACCTTTTGTACGGTAAGTTACGTTGGACTTTTTTAGACGATAAAAGTCTATTAAAAACACAAATGATATGTAAGAAGATAAATGACGATTTTAATTCATCTATTTCTGGTTTTATTTTAAGTAGTTTGGTTGGAAAAATTCATTTAGATGTGCATTTCTTTATCGTCTTCTATATTAATACAACACTCAAATTGAACAACTGCTCCTTTATTCATATGATCATAGGTAGAAAACAATGAAGAAGTTTAATTTTCTGTCATAATTGATTACAGTTGCTATGTATTTACAGATAAATAAGAGGAAAAGGCGATTAAAAGAAACTTATGATAATTCATTAACATGGTGCCTTGAATGAATTCACTAGCAGAGCAAATCAATACTTAGTATTTTTTTCAAAAATATGAATGAAAAGGATATTTAATTTGTGATGTATCTTTAAGTCAATTTTCAGTTTATTTGAATTTTCCATAATATTTTATCAAATGGTTTTCTGCGTGCTTTCTTGTACAATTATTTTGAAGAACAGCAGTTATTTTTCTCACAGCTATACATTCATGAATTACATGTTGACAGAGAACTGATCTACGTTTGTTGTTTTTCAATAGGCAGATAACATCCGGACTAAGACCAACATACTTCGGGTCACATTCTGTGTTGAAGTGCGCAAACAATCCAATATTCCAATCACGACTGTGAGAAAGTGTTGTATCAAAATACTGTCGAAATAGAAAACCAACAGCTTCTTCTAGCATCCACCCATCGGACGGAGCAGATAATCTAATATCGATGAATTTTTCTTCAAACCAAGCTTCAAATTTTTGTTTTATATTAGTTACTTGAAGTTTTTCTATTTGACATCTAGTGAATAATGAGCAGTTTAAAAAATATCGTAAATCTGATTTTATATCATTCCACGATTGAATTTCATTCGATGGTAATAAGATAACGGAAAATAAGCATCGTATTTGATGATGCAAACAAAAATCAAGTTCTGGTAAATATAAAGTTTCAACTAGAATAATATGTAATACAAGTTTATGTACGAATAAAACTTGAATTAGTTTTGGGCAACCGTTAATTTTGTCATATTTCGTTTCGAGAACAAATTCCATTTTTTGTTTAACAAGATTGATTAGTTCTCCCAAGATATCGTATCTCGTAAAACAATTGATATAGTAAATTTTCCGTGGTGACATTGGTTCAAACTTGGCTAAAGTTGTCAAATTTCGAAGGATGTGACGTCTTGTGTTCATTCTGTATAGTATCTATTTTCATAAGATGATAATTGTGAATATTCTAAAATTATGTTTAGAGTACATAATGAAACAAAAGTTGGTAACATAACAAAACTTTAATTTAAAAAGGAAATTATACAGATTTGACTTTCAAAGTATTTTTAGTCTCATAAATGAGAATAATAGCAGTACATAGTGTTGCGCGCTATCGAAAATAATTGCAAAAACGTTTTGAGTGATTATCATTTGAAACTATATAGAATAAATGAAACGTCAATAGAAAATGTTCAATAAAGCAAATATGTCAAACAAGACTACAATTAGACAAATTGATGTTACGAAGAAAAACATCAAGCAAAGTAATCTTCAAATGTTGCCATCTATGGTAAGAGTAGTTATGTGGTTGAAATTATTGTCTGTATTAGATGTTGGTTTAATCTATGTAAAAGAAATGGTACAATATGAGTCGCTCAGAAGGTATTTCATATATACAAAACAAAACTACATTCTTCCGACAGGCATACCTTTTTGAGCGGTGATGATGTTTGTTGAACTGTTTTGTTCGCTGCATGTTTTAACTGAGAGGTTTGCTTTCTTTTACGTATGTTTGATTGTTTTTTAATTAGTTGACTGACTTCACTTTTTGCCATCCAGGGTGGATTACGATAAGGTTGACGCATTTTTTGAGCTTGTTTATAGATGAGTTTCATCAATGGCGTTGGACAATTTAGAATCATCGCGTTTTTGTGCATTGATTTGAAAGTAGATAGAATTGAAGAACTAGTATATATCTTGAAAGAAATAATAAAAGATGGTTTTACTACCTCTAAAAATGTTAATGATAAATAAATGAATAAAGCTTGAAAGTATTTTTTATAACAAAAGATCAATTATTCACTAGATCTCTCCTTTCTTATGTAAGAAAAATAGGAAAAACAAAGATGTTAATTATTTTTTGCAATAGAGAATGCTATTCAATTCATAATACTCCCAAGAACTGCAATCATTTGCAATAAAGGTTTATCGACATAATCCAGTTGTGCTGTGTAAATCCTGATTTGATATCTTTTGCATAGAATCTGAAACGAAATCGATTATTGTTATAAACAAAAAATGTTTTTGAAGTCAATAACAATTTGTCAAAAGTTTTGAAGTTTATCATTTCTTAGGATAATATAGATATTCATAATGAACAAAGTAAGTTAAAAGTGATTGAATAAATTTGAGAATGTATATCGAATAAACGATGATATAAGTATCCTCTATATTTGAATAAATTATAATTCAACTAATCTTATGTTTATCATCTATTTTTATCTTGGTTAAATGCAATTTGTAATATTTTAATTTGGAAATAATCCTATGTTTGTTATATACATTAACATATTGATTGTTTCATGATAAACATAGAAAGGAATAAAACAGAAGAAAAACTTATTTGAAACCAAATTGCACTCCATACATACAAAAAATTAAGTGACATAACTAATAGTAAGCTAAATATCGACTCAAAGTGACGAGAGAGAAAAAATTAAACAATAATTAGTCGGAATCACTTTCGGACATAGTCACATTAGTGTTCCGATTCGATATAGGAATCTCTTTTTTTCTTATCGACCTGCGTCGATAAGCATTCAATATAACAACTGACGATGAATTACGACAAACGAATATGAACATTAAGATAACAGCAGCTATGAATAATACAATATATAACAAGTAGCTATGCCTAAAAGAAACGTAGACTTAGAAAGAGAATTGCACAAAACAAATAAAATCAATATATTGAACGTATAATCAAAAAGTCTCCAACGATAAATAATCAATGGTTACTCAAATACAATACTCAAAATAAAGCCATAAAAATACAGATGAGGCCTGATGTAGTTGATTTTTGCGTGCTGTATATGTCCGCTAACATATTGACGAGAAAGGTAGGCTCATTGTTGCGCAATGAAAATGACTATTATCTTCCAAGAAAATATACTGATCTTCACAATCAAGCAATATTTAGTCTACTAGCGATAGATTTTTTTTATTGCAAGCGCATGGTTTAATAGAAGAACACGCTTTTATTGTCTTTTTCAATGATAGACGCAGTCAATATTTTCTGAACGGTTAATGCTAAAATTAGGAGTGAATTCTATTCAATGATCTTTTTCTCGGTCATACACGCGCACATCCGCACATGTATCGCTTCGTCTATGCAATTTATGAGATATGAGCTGCTAATGGACAATACTCTTCAACAGTTTTTCTCCAATTCGAACAGCTATTATTACATTGCTCTGGCAAAGGTGTAGTCTCAAAAATTGTAGCTTCGAAACTATTTTTTCACAGATTGAGAATGAGAAAAATGAGACGATACTAATTTATCTCGAATGGAAAATTATAGCTATTTTACAAATAAATTTATTTGCCTCATTTATGAGTGTCAATAATAATCGAAATGAGTCGATTTGATCCGACGAACTTATTAACGATTTACTGGCTAGATAATGGTTTTCAGTATTTTTATGTTCGGTTTAGTTACTTTAAAGAAAATCTCTATGCATGAGAATGCTGCAACAGCTCAATTTCAACGATTGACTAATATCGATCTTAAAATATGCGTCTTACCAGTTTTTTTGAATGTTATCGATGAAGTGGAACGGTGAAGTAATAGAATCATGAAGATCTTTGGCGGTATTAACAATCTGTTCGGCAAAATTATTAATGGGAGTTTTCTCTTTCAGTTGCGATGTATTCAGCGATGTGATAATGTTCTTGTTCATATGTTGAATATTAGAATTCTTATTGGAGTCGGATAAATAGAAATCGTCTCGTTTGGATCTTCCATGATTTGATGCAAGTAGCGCGAATGATACCATCAGGAAGGTGATAGTGATAATACACTCGTGTTGATCACACAAAAAATATGGAACAAAATGAGGAAGAATGACTATGGAACGGCTATTTATACTCGATGGTGTCGGTAAGATGAAGGAAGAATCTGTTCTTTCTCACAGAGAACAAAGAATAGGTGTAACGGACATACTTTGTCATCACCTTCTCTTATTTTAGCGGTTTTTTAACCGGTACTCTCATACTAGAGAGATTTTATCATTGTTTATCTAGTGATGCTACTCTGTGTAGAAAAGATCAAATGATAAAACATCAAATCTTTTTTATATTATTGTTGACGGAACTTAAAGAAAAATTGACAAATGTTTAGTCTACTTTTTTTAACTTCAATGGATAAATCAAAAGATACAATCTACTAAGAATATTGATTTCTCATATCAAAGAGAGAGAGAGAAGAAAAGAGAGAGAAGAAGAGAGAAGAAGAGGGAGAGAAGAAAAGAGAGAGAAGAAGAGAGAAGAAGAGGGAGAGAAGAAAAGAGAGAGAAGAAGAGAGAGAAGCGGAAAGAGAGAAGAAAAAAAAAGAAATACAAAATTCCATAATGATTGGTTGGATGGTTAAAGAGAAAAAATAGTTACTACCAATAGTAATATGAAAAATTGATCCTGCTGATAAGCGTGTACAAGAGTATAAAAGCCGAGTGCTCACAGCAGTGCTATTCAGTCTTGGTTGGGCGATACTATTCAACACGATCTCTTCTATTATATTATCGAATCACAACCTATCCTTCGACGGCACAACAACGTTTAGTGGCTTCCGACAATTGATATTGTACGTCTTTCTCAATTACAGTTATTATATTATTTGTTTTCTATGCTCAGATTCAATCAAAAATCATATTCTCTACATCATCAATAAGTTTTGTACTGTCTGTGAGTATATTTTCATATAAATGTAAACCGATCCGTTGTGGAAACCGAGCCATTTTTGGCAAAATATTTTATTTTTCTAGAAAGCTTTTTTAAAATGAGTTTCTTAACCTTTAAACGTACTCTTTTCCCCTTTGCTCTAAAGAAACCATTTCCCAACTATTTTAACAGTTCACTGAAAGGAAAAAGATCATTCTATGAAGAACGATATGATACTTTCAATATCTCTCATGCAGTGAATTTTGAGCATAATGAGACTAATATACTATTTTGTTAGAGAGAATTTAGTCGAATATGCCATTTATTTCATACATTTAAGGAGGATTTCTCTTTGGAATATTTTATTTTAATGCGGTACAGTTGCAAAAGAGTTATCTTTCTCAGTTTCATTTTCCACGAAATTTGCGATAAGAATAACGTATTTTTTTACTGCCCTGGCACTTTCCTCAGTTCATCCTTTTGTTTCAATCATATTCATTTCAGTTTGTAGTTACGAAAACTAAATTGTAGTGAAATTGTGAAAATATGCATTTTCTCTTATTTTTCTCAAAAGGTTAGCGACAAAAAGAGATAATTTCTCCCTGACTTAAGAAAAAATTGATTCTATATAAGATAAGGAAAGGCCGAAAAGAATTCCAAAATAACTTTTCACTCAAAAATTAGTACACCAATTTATTCTAAAATCTAATTCTAAGTAAAACGCACGCACTATACGAATAGCATCCTTGCAACTCGCGCCTAAAAGGTTCTTCTACACGCTATCAGATACACATGTTAGTTTTGTTATTATTGATGAGAAACTGTCACATAATGTTCATTCATAGTTATAAAAAATGACATCCTCATAGTTCATATATTTAATAACGTGACTATACGTGGGTTTTAATCTTTTAACAAGCTTCTAAATAGTTTCTGAGCATTCGCTGACCTTTCATTCAGCTATGTGTTTAATCTTTCTCTGATCGTTTATGCACTTGACACATGTTCGTTCTTTTATCCCTACATTGTGCAGACATATGAGTCAGATAAAAACATATGTATACATAGACATGTATGCAAACAGACATGTATACGAAGACTAATTTTCGATAAATCGATCGACTTTGCCGATATAAATTAGATAGTTCAACGAATAATTTTTTTATTCTATCAGCAGATGACACATTCCGCTCTAGTATGACAAGGACTTCTTGTTTAAGTCTTCCAGTGTTGTCGTATTCAGTTGCTGAAAGATTCATTACTAGCAAAATGCTTATTCAAATTAGTCTTATTTTGATACTTTCCAAAAAAAACTAATCGATCGAATATAATCATGCTCTGAGACATTGATAGGACTCGGTTTTAGCTGAGCATGATTTTTTGAACTCATGAGTATGAGAATAGAACAGGGAACAAATAGAAGAATTGAAAGTATCTACTAATATACAATAAGCGAAGGGCATCGTTCATAGGAGAAAAGAGAAAATTCAGTTCAAAGAAGCAGACACATCATTCGGAGTGAGTAGCTACTGTGTCGACCAAATAAGTCATGTTATATGATTAAATAGAGCTGTTTCACTCAGAATATATATTGAACTCATACAGATCGGCTAAAACTCAGCAATGTACTCGTATAAATATTTGAGATACCCTTTTATTTTCCAACATCATGTCATAGAGTCGATAACAAGTAAGAGATACAAGAAATTAGTTGATTTTTTTGCGTAACCGTGGATAATGGAAGTTGAGTTCAATTAATCTTATATGAGAAAATGAAGTAAACAATCGTCATATACTTTATCTGCTACGTAACATCATGCTGTTTTCTTTCCGTGTCGAGCGCTTGTTCATTGATAAAGAGTCCCTTCCCTTTCATCATATTACATAAGAGGCTAAATTAAAACTATACTCCATGTGACGGTGTCTGATATTGTACTATATATGAATTATGGTTTTTATTTATTTCATGAACGTATCATCGGAACAATTTTTGAATCATGAACTATTGATAGTTTTTCTCCTAAAAGTTCGCTCAAAACATCAATTAACTAAACGCTTGAAATGTTGTTTTCTCATTCGAAATTATTTTTCAATCTTGGCAGGTTACAAATGGAATGCAGATTAGTTTTATATAATCGAACTGATGACGATTTAAACCATGACTATATGAGTGGTTGGCTTCACCAACAATTAAAATATTATAAATATCGTCGAATTCCAGGACAAAATGGAAAATCCATTTTCTATCTTTTCTTCCGAAAGGAAGAAGATACATATGCTGCTCTCCGAGCAGCAAAGTTAATAAAGCATATCTCACTCGTGAGATATAATCCATCGAATCCTGTAATGTTCGACTTACCATTTCGTCCATTTTCACCACAGCATATCATAGATATTTGCCGATACTCTTTCAAGAAGTATCTTGATAAATTCAATAATGTGGTACAGAATTCATATTTAATACAAACATCAAAGAGCAGGCTTTCTTATGTAGGATCTTTTCAAGACTTTTATTCGTCGTCTTGCTGAGCAAATCATGGCTCAGTGCATTAAGAAACATGAAAGTACGCCTTTTAACTTATATCTGATTCTGATAAATTGTTAACGTATATTCATTCTATAGTATATGAGCGAATCGCAAAGCTATTTACATGGTGGTGGATGAATGATAAATTCAGAGTAAAAAACAATTACGCAATTCAAAAACTGTTAGATGTCTTCTTTATTTAAATTGTTTTTAAACTAGCATGTGGATTGTATATCACTTCATTGTATTTGTCATTGTTCTATTGGAAGTGATTGTGTTTTCCTTTGATTTAATCGGTACATACATTGACGCATCATCAATATCGTTGATATGATTGTCACATTTTGAAATCATAAGAATAGCAATCAGATTTCCATCATCACATATCTTTTTTGGATGTTGTTACAGTAGATGATATTAAATATCAATATCAAAATTTTGCGTATGACTTTCTGCAGATCATTTCTTTATCAACAATTCCTTTTTTATTCTGAACGAAGAAGCGTAGTCTTTGATGTTCATTAACATTCGTCTCAATGAGAATGAAGCAGTCGTTCTGCTTTTGTTATGAAAAGTGTTGCAATTTATCTTGTATCGGTGTCTTCTATAATACTAAACGTATTCTGCTTGTCAATGGTAGATATGCATACATATTCCAAAACAATTAATCTGTAGTTGAAGTCAGTTGGATCCTGATATATGTGACATGTTTTCTTGGTGTTTATTAACATATTTACTGATCAAATTAATATTGTTTTTCGTATAACATCATTCGTTTTGTATTCCATGCATCCAACAATGATCGAATGTGATAGTGCATAGAAATTCTGCAAAACAACTGGAAGTTTTGTTAGTTTTGAGTGAAATAATTTTTTTAAAATGCGCTGATGAAAGATGAGCGATATGTGGATCATAGCTTTTCAATAATAATTGTTATACATAGTCAGAAAAAGTGGAGTTGTATTGTTTCTGTAGATGATCAATGATGAGCAATAGAGATGGAACTCAACTTGATTGCTTATGATGAGCAATAGCGATGAAACTCAACTTGATTGCTTAATCTCCAATTGCATAAAAGAAATGCCTGCATTTTATCAGACTATTGACTTTCCCATTTGTCCTAACAAGAAACAATGTTGATTTCCACTTCTTGACAGTCAAGTGTGTATATATGATCATGTGTAGCATATTGGAGAGAAAGCCAATGATAATTAACAGAAACAGAATGTCAGAACAAACATTACCTTTGTTTTTTTGCATTTTGACCGTTGCAGATTTCCCCTATATATAGGCTGCGTTTTTTCACTGAAATGATCATTCTCGAAATAGCTTGAAAATGGCAACATTTCCAAATCAATGGAATCCTCAGGTAATGATTTGTCACTAACTGATTACTTGATAATACGGAGTCTCACGTATAGTACGTACCGTCAATGACAATCCAATTACCACCGTTGATTGTGAGACTCCCGATACAATTGATTCCAATAGCAACACCGCCAATATCTTCATACGCACCACCATCGCAAGCACCAACAACACCAATGCCGCCACAGCCATCATCACAAGCACCAACAATACCGGTGCCACCACAACCAACATCATTCCCTACTCCACCAGTTTCACCTCATCAAAAAGCGTCGGAACACATTGTTTTATGTATGAACTGTGGCCGAACACGCGTTGTAATTAATGTTAACGGCAAGAGAAGTCATACCGATCACGTGTGCTCTGATCATGCACAAGTTTCAAATGATTTAAAAGCAGGAACAAAAAAGATAAAAAAGGAGGAAATTTAAAAAGGAAGAAGTACCTGCCAATTAATCTTCATGATAGTTGCTTGATCTTATTCGTATTAGAAAAATTGTGTGTAAAAGTAGATGTAGTTTTGCTTGACGTTGTAAATGAATAATATTGTACAGAATAATAATGTAATGAATTGAAATAAAGAATTGATGCTAAACTCCAGGAAAAAAACAAGGTATGGTATGGATGGTGAAAAATGAATATAACGCTTAAAAAACGTTAAATATATCAAGACAGAATATCAGTATGAATGAAACGAAAAGCCATGATTATTTCATATTTTCTGAAGCAAGCTGGTATATATCCATTGATTGAAAAGGAAGAGAATAGATCAAAGATGACAGAAGACGAAAGGAATACATCAGTATGGATGTCAATCATGACTGCTTCCCTCTCTACAATTAAAAAAAAGATAAAGACAGATAAGCCGCGTGTGTCAATATGCTCTTTCTCGTTCTCTTTCTTAGAGTACAATTTTGAGGGTGAGCGGCTTATAAGCGAACTGTGAACACGGCTCATTGTTTTTTTTATCCGTTATCTATACGATTGTTTCAGTTTTCGTATACGTAAGATAAATGCTTTGAATATATATTGATGTGTTCCCTATTTGTTAAATAATATTAGTAAAAACATTTGGTTATCTCTATTTTCCAATATTTTAATAATTTCTAAATCGTTTGATATATTTATTGTAGATTTCTTTAATATTTACGTTTATCTACATCTTTCCGTCTTATCTATCAAAATGTCACAATTATCAAGTGAGTATTAAGCTGAAAAACTTCTTCCAAATATACATCAAATCACATCTAACATATACTAGATTCCGCAATGGGTAGTAATATTTTCTCAGAGTTAACATCAATCATGGCTGATGCCGCGGTGAGTTTAATAGATTTCATAGTCTAGTATGTTTTTAATAATGTAACAACAGGCTCTATCAAATGAAACTGGAAAAGGAGTAAAACGAGCTGGATCTGATGAACCTCAAGGTCCCGTAAAAAAAAGTATGGTTGATTATAATCTATCAAAAGAACTTGTACCAATTTCCATCTCAAAACCAGTTGATCAACCAAAATTCATCACTGCCAGTCAAATGATATATGAGATTTCCGACGAAGAACTACTTAAGATGGCAGTCGAGTTTGAGAAAAAAGATCTTCAATAATTTTCAGAAATAGTTTAATGAAATTCAAAAATATCGAACGGACAACATGCGTGTTTGTGTGCTGTGTATTAGTTTAGGGATGTAGTGTCCGACTGATTTATATGAAATTATAACTTTTCCTTGTAGTCAACGTACATATACTTATCCTATATTGATTCTTATCAATAGAGTGTTGTTATCATTCGAAATTCTTTCAGATAAAAGATTTGAATCGACAGAAGCCGACGAAAAAGTCATTTCAAGATCACTCATTATTAAACATCCTTAACTGAACATCGATTTGGATGTGGAATGTATCATTACCTGAACACTTTTCGTGTGCAATTTGGATTTCAATATGTTTAATGTGATATTTTTATTTCATTCTATTTATAAATCATCTCCAAAGTGAGTACTTATCTAACGATGATCATGAACTCTACAACGATTATTCACAAAATTCAAGAAAACGAAAGTTCATGCAAAATATCGGACTTCTATTGATTAGCATAGAATCATATAATGAGAATCTATTTTAACTCTTACTGAATTTTAATTCCATACATGAAATATCTTATTGATTGTTTGGTGAACTTGAACAGGTAATGTTGAGCCTATATAGAAGTGTAGCCAGTTCGGATGCACAACACTCACTACATGTATTGAATTTTCAGCCGAAAAATCGTCTCATATAGCTAGCTATAATTTGTCAAATGAAATATAATTGAAAGATCCGATTTATTGACCGATCATGATATATCTGTCTGTAAGATGAGTTTTTCAAAATTAAAATTTTCGTATAGGCATTGCCAACAAAATGTCACGATTATCATTTATCGATAATCAGATTTTTTATTGATAAGAAAGCATTTTCTATCGGTCATATATCTGGTTCTATGGTTCTTATTGTTCTCATCGTTTTTTCCAAATATATAGGTATTGAAAAAATATTTTGATGGCAGCAATAAAAGAAAAAAAAGAAGATGAATTGATTTATAAACTGAAGAAAAGAAGTAACTTTCCAAATAATTCATCAACTCTAGTATTATGTGAAAAGAATATGTCCTTTAAACGTCTCTTTAATCTGTTCCATTTACACTTGAAACAATTTCAAAACAATGTACTGTACAGATAAAGTTAGGGACAAATTAGAACAACCTCACATTTCATGTCATGTATACCAAGTAATAACATTGGGAAAGATTCTTAGTATTATCAATAGAGTATGCGTATTTATGATCCTTTTCATTTTCATGAAATCTGCATTCATGTAGAGCAAAAATGAAATGATTTCTTATATTTTAACAATGCCGGAAAACATCAATCAAAATCAGAAAAGCAAGCATTTCATATGAAAGTATTAAGTCAATAGCTTCACCAGTAACTACAAAGCTGAGCAGCAGTTTAAAAAAGCATTCATAATATTTTTTCTCTTTAGCTTTTTCAAAACAATGACGAACACGATTTTTATATTCCTATTTAGTTTATCTAAAAGTTCGATGGCTAAACTTGTGAGTAATTTTGAAATTGATTCAGATACTTTTCCATACAAACTATGGTAAATGAAAAATAGATAGTGAAAATCAATTCTAAATGACATGGTACAATTTTGATTGTTACATTGCGTTATATATTATCAATATATGGACACAAGAGGAAAAGTTCAAAACATTATCGGATATTTTTACACCAATTTTCAAACTTAAAATATTCACTTATGATCGGACTTGAACATCTCTTCAATGTATTGAGCTATGTAAATTTAGTCAATGTTGCTCAAAGAACAATCAGTTGTATGAATGACGATTAATTTTTATGAAGATGCACGATGACGCATTTCACAAGTATGTTTCTCCGTATTACGCAAAATATTTGCCAAACTTATTCGCTGTTCTATAACAAAATTCAATATCCAATTAGAGTTCGATTTCTATTTCTTCTATCAAGATTTTGTATAACCGATTAACTGAAGCTAGCTGGATAGATAGACATTTGAATAATAATGATTAAAGTAAGTACCCATTATATGATCAATAAACTAATGCAGAATATGATCTTCGTCATCTTTTTATATCGCTTTTTAACGAAAACAAACAACTCATTTCAAGCATGTAGAAAAATTTTCAATATCAAATCTAGTATTTTAACACGTATAAATGGAAAATGATTGATTGCTTTTAGATAATTTCATGATCTTTCGTATAGTCAGTAATCATTCTCATAATGATGTTTTAGAATTTATGTAGCACAAGAAGTGCATATAATCTATGTGAATTGATCAGTAGTTACAATCAATTACGCATGTATTCAAAGTCGTGCAATAAAAATATTATTTCTATGTTCATGCTTACAGATGAAAACGACAATTGATCAATTGTGTCCGGATATTTGGCAATATGTGTTTGAGTATTTTCATGCGAGAGAATTATTTACTAGCCTCATACACGTAACTAAAGCAGCTGATGATGTATTGCTCAATGAAAATCAACATTTCAGTGCAAGAACACTTGTCATTGACACTGTTGTTCGAACTCCTCCTAAAGAACTTATGCCTGCTCGAGTCATCTCACTTGAATTGTACGAAGATAGCCGTTTCAATACTATTCGACAATATTTTCAACTTCGTTCATTAAAACTTATAGGTGATCCTCAATGGATCATTTATGTCCTTAAACAGATTTCACAAAATAATAAGAGACTTGAACAGTTGACTTTTTTAATACCCAGCATTGGCTTTTTATATGATCTCCTTGCTTCTATCTCAGTGATATCTTCACTGCGTCGGTTAGAAATACGAGCAGACCAATTTGAAGAAAAGATAAAGGTTCCTTCCTCATTTGTAAGGTTAGCTAAGATCGAGCAATTTATTCTGCATTCCTGTTCATCAATAAGTTGGAATGAATTATTATATATGTCCCCTCACATGTCTAACGTTCGCTTTCTCGATATTACGTTAATCAAGTGTCATAATAACTTATTGAATTCATTTACATTGCCGAAACTTCGCTCTTTATTTCTCATATTAATTGAAATTCCTTTTGAATTGATCATTCAACTTGTGACTACGGCACCTTCTCTAGTAAAACTTAAACTAAATGGTCTCGTAGATGAACAAGGATTCGTCATTAATCACAAATGGTCAAAATTATTTGAATCTTGTTCTTCACTTAAAAGCATCATCGTAAGCGTGTCGCTGGAGCAATCCATAAGCTCCTATTATAGTGAAACGATTCGAGAATCTCTACATAGAATAAATCTGACTTTAAATGTATTCGATGATGATTCTGAATATTATTTGGATACACGACAGCAGAATCATTGGTGGAAGTTGTCAGGAGTCATTATTCAGCATTGATGAGATGCGGTAGATCAATATTACACAGTTTTGGTATATATCAGTAAATGCCATTTGAAAGTTTATGACATATCGACATAGATACTTTGATCCAATGAAACGCTCCATTTTATTCTGATAGTAACAGGGTTGTACAACTATGATTTGGTTACAATTAAGTCATGGTGCATCTTTGATCGTTCATCAAATGATAAGAAATGTAATGTTTTGGAACGAAGATTATTAGAGTATTTTGGAAATTTTGCTATATTGCAGGTTTCTTTAATCCAAACAACATGAACATTTAACATTTGTATGAGATCTTTACAAACATATTTTCATTTATGAAAGTCATGGGAATCAAGTTGCTCATAAAAAATTTAAAAAAAACATGTGGACTCAAAATTACTCATGAAAGTTTCATGATATTGAATCCGAAGGAACTAAAATTTGGTAGAGAGATAGAAAAACATTCGAAACCAGATGTATAAAAAGCCATAATTCTTTTTAATGTTTTCTATCCTCGGAAACTAAAATTCTTAACATTTATTAATCGATCAAAGATGTATCTATGATGTAGATCAAATTGGATAATAATTTTGAAGTAGTCTGTCACGAAAATGAAATGATAGTGTAATTTAATTGGACAAAAGAGCGTGTTTGTTTAGTGTTAAATATAGAAAAAAACATGTGTATGAAAGCTGTTTTTTTTTGTAAATTTCCAAGACTCACTACATATTGTAGACTTTTTAAAGACTTAACTATCTGATTCTTTTGTGTACGTACTTGTCAGTCTAATATCCTTATGAAACATTGTACTTGCAATCCTATTCAAATACGAACTTTTTTAGATTGGTTTAATGGAGAATTTGAGTGTTAACGATAATCAAAATAATTTCGATGACTCAGACATATATGAGAAGCAGTCAAATGCCCGTCAAAAGTCAGAAAGAATGGAAAAATTCTTAAAATTATTGAATCATTTATCAGTGGCATCAAAGTCAGCAGACTATGAACAAGAGATTTCTACTATTGTAGCAACGATTCAAGCAGTATGTATAGAAGTCGATTCCTATTGAGAACATTATGTTATTATTTATTATGAACCATTTCAGAATGAGAAGTTATTATCACCAGTGCAATTGGTTTTACCAAACGAGTTTGATGAGTATCAACACACTGTAGATAATGTAGCCCTGCAATACTTAAAAAATGCTAGTAAAAGTGTTCAAAACTTGATTCCTCTCAAAAGCTTACCTGATGGAAACTGTTTGTTCAATTCGGTTGTGTCGCTTTTACCGGACTCTGATGTATCTGCAGTTGAATTGAGAGGTATGTGAACTTCGACAATGTCATAATAATATATTCACATTGAACCTAAACTGGAACATTTGATTTCAGTGCGAACAATAGTTGAACTTGTTAAGAATAGATCTCACTATGCTACTCAATATTCCACTACTATCGGCCCATTCGATATAGCACTTCAAAGGGCCTGTAACAATTATAGTTTTTGCGAACTCTATGAGCTTGCTGCCCTTGCCAATGTATTACGGTGTGAGATACAGAGTGTATATCCATATATAGATTATCGCGCTGAGATGAAGATTATGAATTCATTTCATAAACCACTGGATATGAATATTGCCGAGAAGTATAAACTAATCATATTCTGGACTAGCACTCTAGACGAAGCCTCTACAAGAAATCGCCCCGGTAGTGGGGGCGTTTGGAGTCCAAACCATTTTGTGCCGCTTGTACAGCCATATCGAAGGAGCTTACCAGGTGATAAAGAAGAAAGTCGTTCGGTGTTAAAAGTAGTAAGTAACGAGATATCAATAAAAAATATGTGCTTGGGATTCTACCTTGATTTAGACTCCTCGAAAGGAAACGTATAAGAATAAACAAATTTCATCTATACGAAGCCCTGAGTTTTCACCACCTCCCAATGCTAGAAAACATAAGACATCATTTCCATCGTCTACAATATCCGTGTCAAACATGAGCACTTACGATACTCAACGAAAGCGCCAAGAGAGGCTTACTGAGAATGAGCAGCGGCGACGTCAACGTATTGTTGCTGATCGGTGGCGAAAACGCAATGCTAGAGAGAATGAAACTGAAGGCCAATATAGGAGACGTCTTTCTACTGATCGATTATCGAAACGAAATGCTAGAGAGAATGAAACTGAAGACCAGGATAGCAAACGTCTTTCTACTGATCGACTATCGAAACAAAATGCAAGAGAGGATGAAACTGAAGACCAGTATAGGAGACGTCTTTCTACTGATCGACTATCGAAACAAAATGCAAGAGAGGATGAAACTGAAGACCAGCATAACAGACGTCTTGCTACTGATCGATTATCGAAACGAAATGCTAGAGAGAATGAAACTGAAGACCAGCATAGCAAACGTCTTTCTACTGATCGATTATCGAAACGAAATGCTAGAGAGAATGAAACTGAAGACCAGCATAGCAAACGTCTTTCGACTGATCGACTATCGAAACAGAATGCAAGAGAGGATGAAACTGAAGACCAGCATAGCAAACGTCTTTCTACTGATCGACTATCGAAACAGAATGCAAGAGAGAGTGAAACCGAAGACCAGCATAGGAAACGTCTTTCTACTGATCGACTATTGAAACAAAATGCAAGAGAGAGTGAAACCGAAGATCAGTATAATACACGGGTCACTAACCAACAGGAGCGATCTGCAAAAAATCGGTTATCGCAAAGTAAAAAAAAACTCACGTTTCTAGCAACCACGCAACATCATTCAAATGCGAGAGATACAGTAAATCGGCACCAATCTGGAATAAATTCTACTGAGTCTATGAGATTGCGCCGTGAGCAACAGGCACTAGAACGAGAACAACACATGTTACTTCAGCAATATACGTGGCCGATGGCAATCCCATCGAAATTGAAATATTATTGTTTGGAAGACTTTGCTAATCATATGTCCATGTCAGCCTTAGAACAATCTACATGTATTCTCTGTAATACTCGAGCATTTGCTAACACCATGAAAGAATACGCTCTACAGGATATCTTAAGTATCGACCAACTAACTACTCACACAGATCTCGTGAACATTATTCCTAGAGGCGAACAACACACGCGTAGGTGTCTTAGTTAGAAAGCTATATAATTACTCATACGTTTTCATTTGAAGAAGTGGATCAAAATGCAGAAGGCTTCTCGTCATCAAACATAGTTCTTTACAAGAGAGGATATTGTAAACTAACAAAAACTGGCAATATCTGTCAACAATGTCTCAGTGCACTAATTAGGGATAAGATTCCAATGTTAACTCCGGCAAATAAGATGTGGGTTGGTGACGTGCCGATCGAGCTACAACAATTGACGCTTGCTGAGGAAAAATTGTAAGAAGTTCACGATTATTGTTAAAATGAGGTTTTCATTATATAATTCTCTTCTTTGAAGAATTTCTCTTTATCGCCATAACAGCTGTATTATTAAACTACAATCACCATTTCATCATCATTCTACTGCTCAGGCTGCACTTAGAGGTAATGTGATTACATTCATGCATAACATGCCGAATATTGTAACAACTTTACCTCTGGATGTGGATGATCTTTCTGATACGATAAAAATTATTTTCATTGGTGCCCATATGCCAGATCGAGTTCAGTTTCGAAAAATTTGTGGCGTTAGCCAACAAAAAGTTCGTAGGGCGCTTTTATGGCTAAAAAGTCACAATCATATGTATAGGAAGATTCCTAGTGAGTTTTTGAGCGATACGTTTGTAAAAAATTGTGTAATGAATGGTTCTAGTAAGCGAAGTAAATATTGCAAAATTACCTGAAGATGATGTTCCGGAAAGTATATGGGCCACCTTAGAGAGAATAGAGAATGTAAGCGATGGAAATTCAGAACGAGCTGGATTTACCGAAGATCCACTAATACATGCCACAGACCATGATGAGTGTAACTCGGAAAATATCTGTCCTATGAATACCAGGTGAGTTTCCATAACAAAAAATGGAGTTGCTCACGTCATTTTATTAGTGCTGTATTGGATGTAAATGGAACGACTATTTCTTCAGAAGATATTAGTGTGCATTTACTTCGTAAAGTTAATACAGATATGATTGGAGCGTCGTCTGACTTGCCCGAGAAATATACGGAGGATGACGACGATGTGTATATGATTCCAAGATCTAATGTGCCAATCAAGGATTATTTCAATCCAGAACTGCTACTTGGCTTATATCCAACTCTTTTCCCTTATGGATGTGGAGCACCTCAAGATTCATCAAGACCGATTCCAGTATCTTTAGAGCAACATATTCGCTATTTACTAGCATATGATGATCAACGATTTGAGAAACACCATTCGTTTATGTTTGTTCTCTTCAACATAATGCAGCGACGACAAGCATGTTGGAATGCGACTCTTATGGCTTCTCGCCCTTATTTTCAGAATGTTGCTAACGATCTTGAAACTTTGACCAGTAAAGAAATTGAGACCGCACTGATGAGTATAAGTAAACAGACGTTTTCCTCTGTGGAAAATCCACGGATTAATATGCTTATGAAACAGATCAAAACAGTAGGTGGAAATGTCATGGGGTCGGCGTATTCGCGAGCAGCTCTGCGGACTCAGATTCATGCACTTATATTTAACCAGGGTTTACCTAGTATATTCATGACTATAAATCCGGCCGACATTCATAGCCGCGTTGCTCTCTATTTTGCCGGCGTAGATCTTGATCTTGATAAAATTATACCGGAAAAAATTCCATCAACATACGAGCGTGCTCAGATTATAGCTTCGCATCCAGTAGCTACAGCTCGTTTTTTTAATGCACTTATTTCTTCTATTCTTAAATGCATGATTCAAAAGGGCGTACTGGGTCCAATTAAAGCTTACTTTGGTACAGTTGAAAATCAAGGGAGAGGTTCATTGCATTTACATATACTCATGTGGCTTGATCATGATCTAACACCTTCACAGTTAAAGGAATCAGTTCAAAACGAAGAGTTTCGATGTGGTCTTATTAACTATTTAGAAGATATCATCAAGCAAGATCTAAGTAACTTCGATCTTGATACGTCTGAAGATGACGGTAAACAATTCTTGCTCAAAAGAATTTCTAATGTAGTTGAATAAACTAACTTTCTAGCTCTTGAACAACAGCACCAGTCGTCTATAGATCCTAATGAGACTAAAAATGATTCTCTGAAGCTTATACCACCGATCACGCCCACGCTAAAACCATCAATGCCAAACTTTGCGATGAACTTCAAAAAAGACATTATACAGATAGTAAAGAGTTGTAATATCCACATTCACACCGCCACATGCTATAAATACTCGAAAAAAAACAATAATCCTGCGTGCCGTATGCGAATGCCACGGCGAATCGAAACTGTGTCATCTATTAATGTTGAATCTGGTGAAATTAAACTGAAACGGCTTCATGAAACAATTAATAATTTCAATGAATATATCATCAGTGCCTGTCGTTCAAATATGGATATTAAATATATTTTCAGCGGCAGTGATGCCAAGGCTTTGGTGTATTATATTACAGATTATGTAACAAAGTCCAGCCTCTCTTTCCATGACACATTTTCCCTAGTCTTAAAAGCTATTCAGTCCTTCGAAAAGCAAAAGCTTCATATGAATGTCGCTGTTAATGCCGAGGAGAAATCACGTCGACTTGTCTTAAGATGTTACAATACTCTTGCATCACAGCAAGAATTATCTGGAGTACAAGTAGCATCATATTTGATGGGTTGGCCTGATCATTATACAACACATGAATTCGTTAATCTATTTCTCATTGGTATTGAGAATTATTTACAATCAATGCTATCAGAAGCTAAACTCAAACAACAACACCAGACAGAAAGTAATATTATACATATATATGTCATTTTGTAACGTAGCACATATTCTATATCCGTATGAGCAATCGTATGCATCAAATTGATAGCTATCTGTCTGATTCTTCTATCTCACCTCTATGTACATATATAGTAACTGCACAACTAGAAGATATGATACCTTTCAGTACAGAGCCAGAAAACATAATATAATCTCTTCTCTTCACCAGAACGAATCACAGATACAGCATCATGCAAAATTTTGATTTTCTGATGAATCACAGATTTACTTCAATAATATTTTTTTGTTTTATTAGATATCACGAACATTGACGATGATGAAAGTTGTCATGAAAGTGAAGAACAATTTTTGCTTCAACCCACAGAGAGTAATAATAAATACGTATATGTTAATACCCGAGTCGACTACCAATATCGTTCAGTAGCGCTTGATAATATATGTCTGTATGATTATGTGCGTTCATATCGAAAAAAACCTATCGATGCTAAGGATCGAAGGCAATTAGAAGCTTTATTAGAGCCGAAAGATATCCAATCAGAAAGTTCAAAACGCGGTCGACCGCCTTCTGAAAGAGAGCTCTTTCAAGATAGTCATCCACAAGCTGCCTCGCATATAAATATAAAACGAACGAAACCAGTCATACCAGTCTTGATTGGTCCACCAATACCACGTAAAGATCGAGAAGACACAAGAGAGCGTTATTGTAGATCCATTCTTACACTTTTTCACCCTTGGCGAACATACCGAGATGTGTGCGATGTTGATCAATCATGGGAAGAGGCATTCAATATCCGACAAACAAAGATTTTGTCATCATCTTGGAAAATTGTAAATAATATCCAGTTACTTCAGGAATGTAAAAGTGATCGTGATGAACATCTACAGCAGATAATTGAAGCTGCGCAAACTGAAACGGGCAGTGATGAGTGTTATCCTCGTCACATTGAAAGTGATAGCGAGGATGAAAATACTGAAATCTTTGATATATTGGAAGCTATTGACATAACTAACATTCCTGTTGTGAATGGTAATACAAACAAAGTAGAGCAGATATACTTTAAAAAAATAGTAGAAGCAGTCGATCGAGCGAATCGATTTGCCAATATTCGAAGTAATTTGGTTTACTCTTCAGAAACTATCATAATTGGTTCTTATTCATAGATTCACATGTAGGGCCAACGAATCGTTTTATACATTCGTCTCAATTCGATAAACAAATTATTTCTGACCACGAACATCTAGTACCCGCAACTACCGAACTAATCCAATTGAATAACGGGTGGCAACGTAAGATCAAAGAGCAAAAAGAGCGAATACGAAAAGCCTGCATAGGTGAACAGCTACAAGAAAATCATATTGAGAACATTGACAATGCCGAAAATGGATTGGTTCCACCCATCGAAGAAAATATATCTTCAGATCTTGATAATAATAACGAGACCGCCAGCTCAACAAGTATCATACCAGTTGCTAAAATTGCTGTACCGAATGAAACAACACGAGAGAATATAGCAGTGCAATTTACATTAAACAAGAATCAAAAGGCTGCGTTTATGATTATTACTGGTCATCTAGATGGACTGGGTATACTGAGCGAAGGTACGATGATAAAGTCGGAAGATTATTACTTATCTTATCCGTTTTGTAGATGACAAACAGCAACAATTGATTATGTGTGTACCCGGGTGTGGCGGCACAGGAAAATCTCAGTTGATTCGTGCTATAACAGCATATTTTACACAAACAAACCGCGCACATAAATTGAGAAAACTTGCACCAACATCAGTTGCTGCAGCAGAGATTGAAGGTATGACAATTCATTCTTTTCTCGGTGAAGGACGAAATCGAAAGCATAAGTCAAAAGTGATGAATCGTCCGGGACAGGTGACAAAAGAAAATATATGGCGTTTTGTGGAGTATATTATTCTTGACGAAATGTCAATGGTTGGCCTCAGCTTATTGGCTCGTTTGAATAAACTTGTTGCAACAGCTAAGCACCATGATCCTATGTCTACAATGGGTGGTATCAACATTATCTTTTTTGGTGATTACATCCAATACTCACCAGTATTTGACAAACCACTTTACTACAACTTCACTTCCCCAATGGATAATGATACACAAAAAAACAGGAAGATACCCACAGAAAATGATATTCAACAAAAAAGTGCTCGAGCATTGATCTTACAGATAAACTGTGTTGTTATGCTTGAGGAACAGATGAGAACCAAAGACTTGGCTTATCGAGCTCTGCTGAATAGAGTTCGTCATGGTGAAGGTACATATGAAGATTGGCAATTACTCCGAACGCGTGTAATTGGTATAGGACTGCACATTTCTCTTAATAGTCCACCATGGAACGAGGTATGTTGAAAAAGCCATCTGTTTTTTTATTCTGTTCTATCAACGTATTATCCTAGACTCCAATTCTTGTTTACCGAAATGAACTTCGAACAGAACTAAACAACCGAGCTGTCATCAACAAAGCATATGAAATGGGTCGAGTACCGACCGTTGTAATTGCTACCGATACAATAAAGGCAAAGAAACATATCGATCTTCCTGATTTGACAAAACGTCTTCTCGCTTTGCCTGACAATAAAACAGAACATTTACCCGGTTATCTGCCTCTGGTACCAGGTATGCCTGTATTACTACAAGAAAATATTGCTTGTGAACTTGGTCTGTCAAATGGCACACAAGGTATCTTCCGCGAGTTAATTTATGATTGCACGTCAGAACCTACCATCGGTTCTAGTGAAGAACCTTTTACGCCTGATACTGTATTTGTACGTAACGCTCAATATGCTTTGGTGGAAATACCCAAATCGAAAATGAGTAAACTAGATTCACTCGATCCACTTATTATTCCTATTCCTGCAATTGAGAAAACATTCGATGTAGATCTAGAGAAATTCTATAGTGATAAAGGAGCCGTTACGAAATTATTTAAGAATAAAAAGGTTAAGGCTACTATTTCTATTAAAAGAAAGGCGTTACCGTTAATACCAGCCTACTCCATTACAACTCATAAAAGTCAAGGTCAAACACTACCAAAAATAGTCATTGACTTGAATATGCCACCTGGAATGGTAGAAGTGGCATCAGCTTATGTACCACTATCACGAATCCAACAACTGACGGATCTCGTTATCTTACAAGACTTTAGCATCGAAGCTTTACAAGTGAAACCGTCCAAAGGACAACTTGCTGAGCTTAATAGATTGAGCGTGATTTTTGAACAAACAAAACAACATTATTCGCAGTATTTCGTATAACTCCGTGTGGTATACATTTTGAATTTCTTTATAATCGTTGACATTAAATAATGTATTTAATTTCCATTGTCATTCATCACCGCGAAGAAGCTTGTCATCTTGCAGTTAGCTAAACATTACTTTATTTGTCAAAACTATTATTAATAATGCTGATATTCATTGCACTGAGTGGCTAGTTAATCATTATCAAACATATGATTGTATTGCTTTAAAATTATAATTACTAGAATATTTTAAATCATTTGATGGTGTTGTGCTCTCGTATCTTCTTGTGTAAATTGTTTTTATCTTTAATATTCAGTTTATTTATTAAAAGCTTATCTAATCAAGCGGTAATATTCATTTTTTTATAGCTTACTCATAGGTTTTAGATATTTGTAAAAAGCACTCAACTCTCATTCATCGATTTTCTTGATCAAAACATAATATTCATCATTAAGAGGGCTATTTTACTTATGCGTTTCAACGTGAAAATCGACTGTTTTCTTCTGGTCTTGTTCTCCCAGCATATTCTTGGTTACTTCAATGATATTTTAACAAAAAATGTGACAATTGCACATCCTGAAACTGGTCTTTTCCTTAGTTATGTGGGATTATATAGACCATCTGATGCAATAGTTCACAACACAGCAATTTTCCCAATGACTGTGGCCACGTGTCATTTTCTACCTCTATCAGCTGCCTTACATATCCCTGCATGTAACATCACAATCAAAAGGCATAAACGTCTGCTCACTGACATCATAAGTCTAGGAATAGGAGTCACGAGTCTCGCCATGACTACAGCAAATTCTATACAAATATCAAATCTTAACCATCAGGTAGCACTCGTCGAAAAATCTCTCTCTGAATTCTCTCATACTATGAAAATACATGGAGCACAATTAGCTAAAATTCAGGAGACTCAGATCCAACTAGCAGAAGAACTTCAAATAACACAACGAGCTATCAATGCTATAATTCCGATTCTAGACTGGCATTCCCAAAATATTGAGGTTATCAAGTTTTCCATGGAGAAAATCCATACTCAGTTTCAGCATTCCTTTCTCTACTTGGCTATAAAACAAATCTTTCGTAATCAACTGACATTAGATTTTCTCTCACCAGATGATCTACATAATGTGATCTATGATGTCATGATACAAGGAAATCTGACATTTACCTCCGAATATGGATCGCTTCCACTTGCTCAAATTATTACCAACCTTCTCGTTCGTCAACAAGTTGACTTTATTCCCAGCTCACGATATGAAACTAAGAGTCCAGATGAAATTGGTCGTCTTGTCATAACTAGTTATTTTGCCGTCCCACAACGAGAACACACATCTTTTCACGTCTATAAGTTATTGCCAATTCCTTTCGTTCATCAAAATAAAACTATGCAACTCACGCAAATTCCTCAGTATTGGGCAGTTAATACACTAGATAATACTACAATGGAATGGCATGATTCTCAAGCATCTGGATGTGATCTTCAAGCCATGGCCACCTGTCGTGATAATCCACCAATATTATCGATGTCGGATAGAACTTGTCTTGCACAAATCCTTGGAGGTCTACCACTATCAAAGTGTCAAACAGCATTAGTTGCGCCTGAGCCATTTTTCCTTCGACAACTACGAGATAATCTTTGGGTCATTTCATCGCCTGAGCCACTTCATTGTTTAAAAATTCTATCAGCTGAACACTCTGCTCTTAGACAACAAACATGGAATATCAATAGCCAATTGCTATTACCACCTGTTGCTCTGGTAAATGTGACCCCAGGATACACAATTGCTTGTCCTGGGTTTACTTTGGTAGGTCATCATATACCTTCGAGTGCTCCATCATTAGTAGTTTTGTACAACAACAGTCTACTAAGTAACAATATCTCCATAGTAAATATTGATCGATATCTCAGAGAAAATACGTCATGGTTTAGTGTGAAATCACGCGAACAAAAAATTGACGACATTATAAAACGTATGCATGAACCAATTGCAGTTCCTGTTTCTGAGCATCCAAAATTTCATCTTAATCATACGTGGTATTTTGGCGCATCAGTCTTTAGCTGGATATTTATAGGATTAATTCTTTTCGTTATATACTATGTTTATCGATTTAAGCGAAAACAAATCTTACAAAATATTTAATAATTCTGTTCTGTTAGCATGAACAAGATGAAACAATTGAAGCCTCTTGAGCCATTGAGTTAATAAATATGTATACTATATTAGGTAAATTGGTCCATTCTTTATAATCTTCTCAGCACTTATTTATATTGATTTATGTTTTAGAATAATCACACAAATAGATGTTTGTTTTTTTTTGTTTGCCTTGATTCTTTCCTGATATTTGCGCATTGTCTTCGTTGCACACGGTCAATTCCTCGTATTCGTATATATAGATTTTTGGAAAATTTGACGTTTCGCAAAACTTTGTTCCTTCAAAAATCGAATAGTGAGGATGTTTGGAAACAATGCTGCGAAACACCATTCACTCGATTTTCATATGGTTTTTGTCATTCTTTTACTGCCTCTGTTACATCATTCTCGTACTTCGATTGTAACACTTGCATCATGAAATGTACATAGGAAACAATCTTTTATAAACAACACTCATCTTCATTGGCATAAAGAATTGACTGCTTTAGGTTTCGATATTCGAGCAAAATATAAATATTGTTCGTTGAGTCTGAGAATCGTGCATGTATTAATCGTTTACAAGAATAGATTCTAAACACATTGCTTTGTTGTATCACTACATATTTATTGAAACCTCATAATAAATCGTTCTGAATATTCTCGCTGTCTTAATGAAATTCAATTCTTTCAGAAAAGGGTCCGCGAATCCATCGGATGAGCGTTACTTGTAACTTATAGTGAGATTCCATTCTCTTTGGTTATCTGATTATTCTCGAATTTACTTCGGGGCTCCGTTGAAAAAATTTCGAAAATATGTCTGATTATGTAACGTTGTGATTTAAAAATCATATCTTATCGATTGAGACATTCTGTCTGAGTACATTTTCATACCCCAAACTCCCTTGATAGAAACCTATTCCGACTAAAATATTTTCTTGGACCTATATACAGTCACAATGTCGAGTTTTAGTATTTCTTCAAATGCCTGATATACTTGCCAAACCTGCAGCCAGCTTTTAAAGCTTATGTGACCACACTTTTATTCGGTTGTTGTATATTGCGGCAACATATTCTTCGCTTGAGGTTTATAGTCCGTAAAGGAACAACAATTATGTGAGAGGATGCAGTTTATGAGAGAAAATAATTGAAGATATCTGTTAAAGTACGAATATAGTTATCAAGAGTCAAATCCGCAATTTCATTCGAAAATGAATCACATGCGCTAGTCGTTCATTCAGAGATCGACTAAAACTTATGCTTATAATATACGAAAATATCTGAGGTATCTTGGTATCGTTCCTCCCAATACAATGTTAATACAAGGCTAGTAAATAATTTTTAAATTATGATTCTAAAATATTCCATTCGATATCTTAGAACTTCAAGGTTCTACCAGATGCCTTTGATATCTAATAAATTTCCAGATTCCATGGTTTTATTCTTTCGCCTTTGGATAGCCTTATCAGGCCTTATGTAAATCGCACACATTGCCAGACCAACTAGGAACTGAGAGGATCGATTGTCTCTAATATTTTATAAAATTCACACTACCAAAGCTTTTTACTGTGGACAAAAATATTCGATAGCATCCAAAATTGCTGCCGTGACTTCCTAAAAGCTTTCGCATCGATCCGTGCATAAAAATATCGTTAAGCTGACAGCGACCAAGTGAATAATACAAATCGATATTATTTAGGCATATGTGTTTAGAAAAAAATTATTGAGAAAAAAAAGAACGGAAGAAAAAAATTCGATCATTCATAACTTTTACCTTTCATCCGAATACCATCAATTATTCAACCATAACATAAATATCATGTACAAAACAAAGTACACGGAAAATTTCACTTTTTTTACCGAGTCAATTAGGATGGTTTTTTGCAAGTCATGAAAAAGAAACAGAATCGAACGCATAACCGATATTTAATTGAGCATTTTCAATATCGAATACAACGTTTCATGAAAAAAATGAAGATATTTATCATCTTGATTTGTCTGTTTGTATCGGAAGTACAAAGCAGATACATTCAGTGATTCATCTCATCGTCGGTCTCTGCAATTCTTTTGAGTCGTTATAAGTTCTTGATGAAACGACCTATTGTCCTTTTCTCGTCATCTTGTTACGAAAAAAGTTGTCGAAATGAATTGACTTTTTTTCAAGAAAGTACATTTGTGAAATTCCGTAATAACTGAATTATTCTTCGCAACGTAAATGGTTAATCGTTCTTGATCATCTACTGTAATAAATTCTGACCATATCCCAGTTAACTGTGATTCTCTCTTTGTATGTCTTCTCATTTCTAAGTGAAAATAACAAGTCCGAATTGGATTAAAGACGACACCGGGAAAGAAAAAATATTCTTTAGTTACGTTCGAATCTGTGACAATGAATCTTTCGATAGAAAATAAATGTCATCATGAGAAAAAGTAGGATAATAAAAAAATAAAAATAAATTAAGTACTCCGTGTTTTCAGTGGAACTGATTTCGTCATAAAAAAATGAAAACCAACGATCGCGCGTTTAATTGTCCATAATGATTAAAGATGAAGAGAAACCTGTAAATACTCTAAAGCAAAGTAAATCTTTGACCTGTAGAAATGGACATTCTATTCCTAGAGAGAAATGATTACTTCGTTAAAACATGATAAATTATTTTACTCCGCTTTGTGTCTCTTACAAACAAAGGAACTTCTCCGCACTTCCTATAGGAAGAAAAACGTCATTTCTCGAAAATGAAACGAGTTCAGAGTATACCGCTTCTTTCCATATCCGATTCTAATCGGTATTGTTTGCAGCGTCTGTGAATTCTTCATAAGCCATGTTTTTCTCAGTTTAAAAACATTTATTTCGATAAAGTTCAAGTGCCAATTATTTAATGACAATTTCAAATAATTTCATTCTTTTGCCCCAGTGATATTCGCTGCGATGGCTTTTCGAAATGTGCGAAATTTATAACTGCCTGAGCGAATCTCGTGATGTTAGCAAGTCTCAGGGTGAGATTTATTTGACTTTTTCTAAAACAAGCCTGTGCACTGTTTACTCTCCATCTTTTCTGAAGACGTCAGATATCATTGAAATCACCTGATGATCACAGACTGAAGAAATTATAGAAGTGTGAGTGCCGAACCTGTTTTATCACGTGTTTAATGGCTTTAGAATTAACAGGTTTTATTTCAATGAATCAATTATATTTAATTGAACTAGTCATCATACTCTATACTTTTATCATTATTCTCGCTTCATAGAAGAATCCTTCATTGAAGTGGAAACTATCGTTCAGAGAAATTCCTTTGCGTATAATCGCGAAACAAACTATTATTTTCCCTTATTTCAGGTATTATTAATTACGAAACTTTGAAGATCAATAAGAGAGAACAATAAAACTATTCAATTGATGTGTCACTTTCAATCAAACTCTGATAAACAAGATCCGATTACAGAGGTAAAAACACAAAACGTTTGTTTCTAATTCACATACATTTAGCTCACAGAAGAAGCCTTGTTTATCGCATTTATTTATTTATTTCAAGAGTATAATGAGTTCACAGTACATGGTCTTTGTGCTTTCACTCATGGTTATCTTAACAGCATTTTCAATCAATTGGATACCTTTCATAATATTAAACTGTCGAATTCATGCGGTGATTTTTGGTTTGTGTTACTTAGGGACAATAACAAGTTTATGCTTAGCAGTGGTTGATCAATATTTCGCTACTTATTCTCGTCCTCGTTGGTAGCGACGGTCGAATAGCATGATGCTCATCGTCTTATGGCAATCGTAACAATTGTTTGTTGGCTTCATGTAGTACTATTTTTCATCCTTTTTAACCAAATGTCTCTTTCAAGTACAACTATTTGTGCGCATCATCAAATGCTGTTTTTTTTTCAATATCATGCTTACGGAAATTCCAATTTTCTAAATTGAAGAGAATCGGGTAAACAACTGACCGTGATGGTTCTATCGAAATTGGTGTTTAAATGCTGATGTTTATACGATTTGTAATATCTAATGGATTTTCTTCGTTGAATACCAATCGTAATTCAATCCTTCTCGCACAACTGAATTTGATTAATATAGTAACGATAACTTCACTTGCTTTAACTACCCAGGGCGAAACCACCCCTCAGGATCCTATCGGATCCCTGCAATAGCCGGCCTAATCCGTTGGTTGGATCCGACGAGATTCCGACGATCGGATTCCCATATAGATCCTTTAGTTTCTGATATATTCCGCCAGTCGAAACATTCAGGAATCCGATTCTAGGATCCGGATGTTTCCGACACTTGGAACCTTCCGGATCCAAGATGGTCTGGATGTNTGGATTTGTTCATTTCCATTCAATAGATATTTGTTTATGAAGAAGTGGATTTGAAACATGTGTAATTAAGTACAGATCTAAGTCACTAATCAAGTATTATAATTTGATTACGTCGTTCAAAAATTGTTTGTACGCCATGTGTTTCACTTAATCAAGTGTAAGTTGAATGTAGTAAATACATTCGATTGTTTTTTCTGAAACAAGAAGACAATTCAAATGAATCTTTAGCTTTTTATCCCGCTAATAATGAACAACAACCGATCCGGTAGCATAACTATTGAAATGATTTGATTTAGCCGTGCATCGGAATGGTAAACCTTCTTCGTTGCATTTATTTATTTATTTTAAGATCATTTGTCTCAAGTGTTAATTTACGAATCTTCTCGGTCAGTTAAAAGTGATGGAAGGAAGATGCGAGTTGTTAAACAAAACATAATTGAAGCCTTTCCTTCACACAAATCGACAGTAAAGGGTGTATAGCATTAAATCGTGATTAAATTTCTGCTTTTATTTTAAAAAAATGTAATAGTGAGATAAGTTGCAATAGAATTGTGTTACTCTCTTTTTTAGATAGTGGAAGTAATGCTAATGAATACGACAATTAAAAGAAACTATACAATGTAAATTATAAGAAATACAGCAAAAACGATGATGATACATAATTTGTATGACAGAATCCAATTATATT